ATATAAATATGTTTTTTTTTACTAATTTAATATTTTTCATTTTTTACATGAACGGATTATGGTCACAAAAATATAATTCACAACCCCCCCACTAAAGTGCATAAGTCTTAATAACAACACAATAATTATCACCAAAATATGAGTAAATAATAAATATTTGAATTCATTATTAAATGCAATAATCGATGAATTAATTCACAAAATCACTGAACATTTGTCTCAATAGTCTTATTCATTGTTTCACATAAAATAATTCACAATTAATTTAACACAAAATTAATTAAACAAATATATGAAACATGAGGGCTATAATGTTGATCATAGTGTGTTTGGCCCTTAAATTGACCTTGGGCGGTCCGTGATGTGACATACGCCTCCCGCCGGGCGCCCTATCGTATTGAGGTTTGGCACTCGTGGGAGTGGTGGGCGTCGACGGCGTGCGGGGAGAGTCGGGTCGGGGCGACGACGACCGGCGGGACGAACAGTTCAGCGAACCCGGTTTGCCGGTCGGCGAGTCCGGCGATAGGGTCACCGACAGACGGGGTGGCGGTGTTGTGGTGCCGGCACCGGCACTGCCGGGACTGCCAGCGCTGCCCGCACTGCCACTGCCGGCCGAACCCACACTAGTGTTACGGCGTTTACTGCCCTGACGTTGCAGTGGTGGCGGACCCGGCGTTTGTTGAGTCTGTTGTGGTGGCACTGATTGTGGTTTTGTTGGCTGCCTATTGTGTCCGCCACTGATCACCACTTCAGACATCTCAGTGCCGGCTCCGGGCGGAGGTTCAGCCACCCCTACACCGGACACCTGACGTCTATAGTTATCATTATTACTACTATTATTATGACTGTTATTACTATTATTATTATGACTATTATTAGTATAGTTTGTCACCGAATAGTGGGATAACTGACGACAGTTATCGATACCACCGCCGGTGCCGTCCGGGCCGTTATTGTCGCCACTATTGCTTTCATTACGTCTATACTGTTGATCACCAGCACCGGGCGGACCCCCACCCCCTCCATTATCACCATCATTGCCATCGTTGGCGGGTTTGTCGTCCAACTCCTCGCCATCGGTGCCCTCATTGAGCTCGGGTTCGCTACGAGTGATGTTTGAGTCGCTATATGAGGTGCGCCTGAGCTTATTGGTGCCCACGTAGCCGGGCAGGTAGGGGCACGATTTAACATGGTTGAAATTGGTAGATTGCAAATCCTCTTGGTCGGTCTCGCGGTGATAGAAATAGTTAAAATTGGACACAATTACCGGCACCGGTAGGGCGATGGTGAGCACACCGGCGATGGCGCACAGGGAACCGACCACTTTGCCCCACACGCCCACCGGGCGCATATCGCCATAACCCACCGTGGTCATCGTGACCACCGCCCACCAAAACGCGTCGGGTATTGACTTGAAGTTTGACCGATCGCTGTCGGCCTCGGCGTAGTAGACGGCCGACGAGAACAGCACCACTCCGATGAGTAGGAAAAATATGAGCAAGGCCAGTTCTTTCATGCTGGCCTTCAATGTCATGCCTAGTATTTGTAGGCCTTTTGAATGGCGCGAGAGTTTGAATATACGAAACACACGCACGAGTCGTATCACACGTAGGATTGCCAGCGACGAGGATTGCGAGGACTTGGAGTCGGTGTCCGCCGAGTGGTACTGCGGGGTCTCCTCAGGCTTTTCGGCCAACATTGTGGCCAACGTTACGAAGTATGGGACGATCGCGAAGAAATCGATCGCGTTCATTATGTCCTGTTTTTGTTTGAGCAAGGTCGTAAATTTTTATGTGTAATTTTAATTGGTTTTTACACATATTTTTTATTTGATGATTATTTGTTGTTGTTTATTATGTCATTAATATTTATGTTTAAATAGATGCACATGTCCACATATTTAATAATCACGTTTATGATAATTTTGTTATAATTTGCGCACAATTGATGGTATTTCATTTAAAATGTTTAATTTTGTTGTTGGGTTGTGAATTATATTTTTGTGACCATAATCCGTTCATGTAAAAAATGAAAAATATTAAATTAGTAAAAAAAAACATATTTATATTTTTTCTATTAATAAACTGTAAATTTATCAATTTATATATTTAATAATATTGTTCTAATTTAACATATATGTAATTTGGGCATCAATATCCAGCAGTAATAATATTACATTTTAAACTATTGTTAAATTATATTTATAATTAGCCAAGTATTAATATACTGCATATAAATATATTCCTAATGTATAATCAGTCATGATATTTAACAAAAACAATAAATGCACTTTTTTTGTTGATTATTATCCCGCAAACCCAACCCTTATATCATTGGTTGTATTGCAACACTAAACTGAATACTAGGCTATAGAATATTCTGCAGTATTTTTTTTGTAAAAAATTGATTTTATTTTGCTTTTAACGATATATTTGTTGTTCACTGAACTGATGGATGAGTTCTCCTATTTTATGTGTATTTTGTTTCAATCAATCGGTATTTTATAGATTTTTTACATTTTGAAATATCTAAAATGTTTTGTTTACATATCAAAAATACTTTAAATTGTTGTCTATTTTGAACATAAATCTGTATACTTGGTAAAACTGTTTTTAAAAGCAATCACAGTGACATAGACGGATGTAGTATTTGTATAAATAATTAAATAATTTTATAAATTAAAATTTTCTCATTATTTTCTCTCACTATTTGATTTATATAAATATAATTAAATACCAAATTAAATTTTAGACCGAATTAATAACTAAAACATTCCTAAGACAAAGACATTTTAAGCCTTATTCAGAAGTAGTAAATATATTATAATTTATGCATAACTTATAACATTAAATATGATTAAAAACTGTATTTTTATATGATTGTGCTGATTATATAATAATGTTTATAATTAAATTATTATATTTGGGCTCGCAAACAATGTGCCACTAAATTAATATATTGTAATTCATTTTGTGTTTACAAATAAAAATTATTTAACTTATTTAATTAAAAAATAATCAATATATTTAAACCAAGATCACAATTATTTTAAACAAACATGCTTGAACAAACCTTAAGAAAAACAATTTGCGACGGACAGGTCAAAAACCTGATGATAAACTCGACGGAAAACCAAATAATACACACGGTTTCGATGATAAAAAACGGCTCGGTGAGCGAGGGCACTTCATCCTCCACCACCCTGCTTATATTCGAGTCGGTTATGTTAAATATCTTATAATGTTTAAACTCGGGCAGTGTTTCCAGGCAAAAAATCAGTATGCTCAATATGATCACGACAACCGATATAATTGCCACCACCCTGGCCGATTGGCTCGACTCCGGGTATTCAAATAATAGCCATATTTTGCGTTTTAACTCGTTTTTTGGTAAAGGTTTCTCTTTTTCCTTCACAAAACCCTCATCTTCCCGGAATTTGTTGAACGCCGCTTCACCTAGTTCAAAAAATTTCACCTCCTCCACAAAAATGTCCAAGGGCACGTTCACCGGCCGTCGTAACCGACCGCCCAATTGGTAGTAGTATAGTATGGCGTCGAACACCTGTCGGTTCCTATCGAAAAAGTACTCGTTTGTGTGCGGGTCGTAGTACCTAGGTGATAAATTGGGTAAATATTTATTAGTATACGTGTTTAATAATATATTGTAATCTAATCTAATATATTAAAAATAGTTCATAAGTAAGTTTTATTTACACATAATTATCAAGTAATTAAAAGCTGTATTTTAATATAATTTAGCAATTTTGATATTACTTTAACAAACAAATAATTTTATATTGGAAAACATAATAGTTCGTTTATTATAATTTTTATAAAAATTAAATAAATTTAAAAATTATAACTTGTAAATTTTATATAAAATTAGCTAACATTTTTAAAATTGATAATTTATAATATCTTAAACTTTCTTGTTATAAAATAATCCATACCAATAAGTTATGTTATTCTAAAACTCAGTAGTTATATTAATAATTTAATAAAAATTTAAGTAAATTATCTAAATTTAATTTATTATAACAAATAATTTTAATAAAAATTATTTTTTGAATGTTAAATTAATTTTACATAACACATTTTATTAGTTTAAAATAAATACAGTTGACATTCGGTTTTGACAGGCGCGATTTTAACAGAATTCGGTTTTAACATAACATTTTGTTAACACTGGCGAGCCCTATGCACACTGTAATGTTAAACAGCTCGATTTTGACACACTCGGTTTTGACAGAATTCGGTTTTAACAGTGAATTTTTATTGGCAGTATAGCATAACTCTATGGTTCGATTTTAACACATTGAATATTATGTTATGTTTTGACACATTTTTCATGAAAAAATGTTGATCAAAAACGTAGAAAATGCTTGAAACCTTGAACATACTTGAAACCAAGTACAAAATTATTAAATTAATTGCTAATTACAATGAAATTGTGCTCCAATTTAGTAACCAATATAAAATAAATGCTGTTTTTCATTAAAACAATTAATTTAATGCACATTTCAATGATATTCGATTTTAACAGAATTCGATTTTGACACATATTTTTACCAGCACCGAAAAAATGTCAAAACCGAATGTCAACTGTAAATTGTTTATTAACTATTTTGCTATTCTATAATATCTATTAATATTAGAGAAACTGTAGTTTAATATTATACTGATTTTAGTATTATAATAGGTAAAACATGATGATTTTTATTGGACTCAATTATTGGATAACGTTATTTTTACTTTAAGTTGTATTAATTCATAAAAATAGTAATTAATAATTTGTATATGATTAAATTTTATTAAACATTTAACGTTTAATTAGCTTATATTTAAAAAAAAGTTTGTAATTAAAACTTAATAAATTAGCTAAAATCAAAGATTGTAAAATAAAAATAATTATTAAATATCTATAATAATAATATTAACACTATAATACAAACTGTATTTTAATACAATAAAGTGGATTATATAATAATTTTTAAAACTAAATTATTTTAGTGGGTGTAAATTGTACCGCAATAAAGTTTCAATTATCATTATTTTTAAATTTTACGTTGCATAAATTTACTTATCAAAATTTGTAATGATAATTGTAATTTATTTTTATTATACGGTATAACTTATATTTATTGTTAGATTATTAATTCGTTTAAATAAATGTGGGTAAATTTAGTAATTATAATATTTATACAATAATTCTATGTTTATTATAAACTGTAAGATAGTATGGTAAAAGTGATTATATAATATTGTATTGAAATAAATATAACTATGTGGTTTTATGAATCATCGAGTTTAAATGAATTACTTTTATTATTAATAAAGCTGTATATATAGTTAAATAGTTAGTTGAAATTTGTTCATAATTGTATATTTGATTATAATATCAAAATAATTACTATTATTAAATTGATATTAACAAATATATGTAATATATTGTATTTTAGAAAGTGAATTATATTTTTTAATAATTAATGAAACTGTATTTAATATAGATTGATTGTTTTATACTATTATATAGGCATATTTATTTAAGCAAATATTCAAGCATCCAGTATTTACTGACATTTAAGGAATTAAATTATTTTAAAAAATACTGTTTTAATCTCTGAGTTCAGTCGACGAATAAACAGTTTTCCTAAATATAAACTGTATTATAGAGTTATAAATAGCATTAAGATAAAATCATATTTGTTTTAAACAAATTATAACCATGATAGGGGCATTTAAATTAAAATTTTAAATTTTGCTATTATGTATTAAATTTATTTAAATTTAAATAATGGTTTAATTGATTTAAAATTTTATTTATATAAATTAACAATTCAATATTAATATTATTGATTTTTTAATCCGTATAAATTACT